CCCCCCCCCCCCCCCAAAGTACCCTAAAGATGCTAATTATCAATTTAGTACATTTTAGTAGAAGAAAATAAGCCGAAATAGTAGAAATCAAACTTAGCATCTGAATATGTGCTGTCTTCTAAAGCTTCAAGGCACGTTATGACATGGGATGAAGTGCACTGTTAGATTGCCTGCAAGCTTGTGCATTTTATTTATTTATCTTGTGAAATACTTCCCTCCCTCCCAAGAAAAGTGTTGAAAAGATATTGAAAGGATGCTGAATATTGAAAAATGAGTAATTAGAATTGGTTTAGAAAAGAGAAAAGTATTTTGGACCACATGTTCTTTTCTAAAAAGGGAAAGAAAATAGTGAGAAAATGTTTTTGAAACAGATGAAGGGATGAAAATCCATAGTCTCTGTTCTGCATATGCCTCTTGTATATAACCAATATGCTTCTTGTATTCCTCATCTAATTGGTCATAGTTCTGAAATATGGCTTTTGATAGAAGACGAAAACGAAAAACTCCGTTTGTCCCTATTTAAGGTTCCAAGTGCTTTCTGTATGGAATTTAAGAAAGGTGACATTGTGGGGTGCGACGGTGGAGAGAAATATTACGAACCACACACTTGTTTCTTCAAAACAAAATGAGCGTTATTTAGGGTAGTCCAAAAACGAAAGCGAGAACATAATGAAGGGAGGGATGGATTAATTTTTAAGCATAAATAGGAAGTATATTTTTGCCTTGTGACTATATTCCTTGTTTGCTCAGATTGTTTGATCTAGTTACAAAAAAACCTACACTTGAATCTGCAGTTTGATTTATACACTTGTCTTTTGGTAGGTAATGAAGATGACTTTACATGCAATCCGAGGTGCTTTGGATGAACTGGAGAAACTAGAAGCAAAATAATATAAAAAGTAATGTTGATGCTGGAAATTAATCAGAGGTTTATAGATAATGGTATGGGCATTTTGTTGTTTTTGCTAGCTTTAACTGCCCCTTTTTGTTGAGTAAATCGGGTAAATATATTATATATATGCTGAACCCCGTTGTTTGTTACCTCCTTAGAGCAGGATTATTATAATATTTTGTTTTTGACGTCTCTTTCACGGAACGACACATATTGCAAGATGGGCGTAGAGTTACGCCTTTTTGACCTCACTTTTAATTCCACGTTTAACCTCACCTTCTTATAGACATCCGACTCTAGTCTGTGAACGTCTTAAGAGTGGGGTGAAAAGTGGGGTCAAAATTGTAATCCCCAAGCATAACTCAAAATTATTCTAGTTTAGAAAGAGTGAGAAAAATAAAACTCACTAAAACCATTGGAATAGTGACATTAGCTTTTTAAAAGGGTAATATAGTCAATTTAAAACAAGGGACTTTTTGGAAGGAAAAAATGGGCTCGACAAAAGCATATTTCCTCCGTCTAGTGCATTGGATTTGTATGACTTGATATTATTGCCCTTTATTTTAAAAATTTGCGTTCTTTCTTAAAACTTTGCATTTCACATACTCAATTTCACATCCTTTGGTTAAATGGTTTTGCATCTTTTTTCCGATTCTTTTAAATTTTCAAAGGCATTCCTTCCATCCAATAATTAAAGTTACAAAATGATTTATATTGGTTGACTAAATATATTTTAAATTTAATTTATGTATTTACATGGTAGTACAAAGTTTTAAAATAATATTTATGTCTCAAAACACTATCAAATACTCTATAAAGCCAAGATGTGATATGATTAAGTTATTTTCACAAATAATTAATGAAAATAACTAAGAAGGAAAAATGACCCATAATTATCAATGATTTGAATAAAAATATCAGTTCTATTTTACTCCGAAATTGTTGATTCTCATCTTGCCTATATAATACGTATTCTTTAAGATCCCTTCTTCATCTCTTCTTCTCAAAGTTTTTTACTATATTTTTCCTCTCAAATAAATAACAAGGAAAAATATCATCTCTCTTCCACCCAAAGTCCATGAGTATAAGCAATATAAAAGGATAGTACTGAATAATATTTTGTACTCCAACGGCAAAGCCCAAATTTAGAAGGTAAATTAGATATTGTTTTCATCATCAACATAAAGATGATCACGTTAGAAGTAGCTAAACTAATAAAATAATCTTGGGCCTTTATTTGCACTCTATATGTGGTTGTATCACTTGTATATCTTAATTTGCACGCCAAAACATTTCACAATACCATTTAAAGTACTAGACTCGAACCCGTGCGTTGCACGGTCTGAGTTAAGGGAAGCATTGATAGAAGTAAAAGATAAAATTTACTTTAAACAAAGATACGTAATATATATTAAAGAGGAGAAGTTTTACAACAACGCACAATGTGAAAAAATAACATAATAAGTTTTAGAAAACTTCTTATAGACTACATTTGTAGTTTTATTAGATGTCACATGATCTTCACCACAAATCCAAATCTTTAATCCATTGTGATTAGTGACTCGTGATAATGCCACATAAACCTGGCCATGACTGAATACAGATTTCTTTAGTAAAAGCCTAACATGCGTCAATGATTGTCCTTGACTTTTATTGATTGTCATAGCATAAGAAATCATAATCGGGAACTGTTTCCTTTAAAATTTAAAAGGAATTCTTGCATCCGATGGTGTAAGAACAATCACGGGATAACAATTTCTTAACCAATGTTTTTCCCTGTCACCAATCTCGGGATAAAAATTTGTTTATATAATTCATCCATGTTTTTTCGAGCCAGTGAATACTTAACCAATAAATATACTCACTCCGTCATTGAGTATTTGTCGACATTTGATTTTTTCCGTAAAAATTAGTAAATTTTGACCTTAAATTTAAAAATGGTATTAGATATTGATACAAAAATAGTTTTATTACATTTATTATATCAATTATTGTCAAAAAACTGATTTATCTAATTAATATGTAATTTATATTTTATTTAATTATATGTCAAAAATTAAAGATAATTGACCAAAAAAGTCAAATCAGGATAAAAACTTAGGGAAGGAGATGCAAATATCTAATAGGCAATAGCTCAAAAAATTTTCGTACCTGTGCGTTGCACCGTAAAAAAATTCGTTATTATATTTGTCACATCTTAAAATAAATTTATTAGATTTATAATATCAAGTATTATCAAAATATTACTTTATCTAATAAAAATAAAATATATATTATATTTAATAATAGATCAAAAGTTAAAAATACATAACAAAAAAAGTCAAACCTAAACAAAAATTCAGGAACAGAGATAGAAATATATACTCTCTCCGTTCCAGAATATTTGTCCAGTTTTGACTTTTTCCGTCAACTATTTTCAACCTTTGACCTTAAATTAAATCAAAAATATATTGTTTTTTAATTAGATAAAATAATATTCTGAAAATATTTGATATAATAAATCAAATAAAACTTTTTTTGTATCAATATCTAATATTGTTTTTATTTAATTTATGGTCAAAGTTTATCAATTTTGACCGAAAAAAGTCAAAAGTGGACAAATACTCAGGGACGGAGGGATTAATAGGCAATGACTAAACTTTTTTCGGCCCACATTTTATTTCCGGCCCACACAATATTTTCGGCCCAGACTCGATTCATATAAAACCTACTTATCAAACCTTATTAAACCTACTAACTTCTTCCGCCGCATCCACCCCCTCTTACTCGACATACTTGCTCTCTCTCTCTCTTTCTCCTATGTTGTTGTTTCTTGGTTATTGAACATATACGGAGTACATTTGTTGGTTTCCCTATAAGCCGATTCTGTTCGTCGATGCATCAATGGCTTTATTAGGTATTGATATTTTTAGTCAATATTTTTTGGATCGTTTTGCGTTTTGTTTTGATTTTATAGTTTTTTTCATTAAGATCTGTTGTAATGAAAAAGATCTTTAGATTCTGGATTTTCATTACCCGATTTCTTTAGATTCTGGATTTTTTCATTAGCCGATTTCCATGTGCGCCGATTATTTTTACTTTTTTTCTTCGCATCATTTTTTCGGATGATCTTGGGCTCCGTTTTGATTTAATGTATTTTTCAGTAAGATGTGTTACAATGCATATTTATATCATCCGATTTATAAATAGATTTCGAAAATTATATATATATAATATATAGATATATCTCTGTGTGTGTATATTATAGACATGTATATAATTTTCGAAATTATATACTTATATATATCAATATATTTACATACACACACACACACACACACACATATATATATACATATATATATACATACATATATATATATATATATATATATGTATACACACACACACACACACACATATATATATATATATACATACATACATAAATATATTAATATTTGAAAAATATAAGCCTATAAAATTATACTTAGCAAGATGTTTTTAATTATAATACAAAAATACATATATTTGTTATAAATTTCTTTATTTATATAAGAAGTCTTATAATATACTGTGTACATTTTCGAAATTTCTTATACATTATCTTCCCCTTTGGAAATAAGACACAATCTGTTAAGCTTTATAATATACATATTGTAAATTAATACATATAGTGTGTTCTTATTACTGTTAATATGTGTATACCATGTGTGTGTGTGTGTGTTTATATATAGATATGTATATGTCTATATATATACATGTATATGCATATATGTATATATGTATGTGATATATATGTATGATAATTATTCCCAGCTCTTTGCCTTTGTTCAAAGTTTTCATGAAATTCAATTTTGTGTGTGTGCCTCATTATAGGGCTGTGATAAGATGAAAGAATTGTGAAAAGTAGTACTGTGATGATATGGCCTCAAACATATCAATTTTGTGTGTGTGTGTGTATGAATATAGGGTTGTGATGATATGGAAGGACTGAAATAAGTTACTATGATTTTTAGGCTTTTAATGTTTGAGGCATCGAAGAAAATGAACGTATCTTGGCGTGGCGTCACGGAATTAATCCCCGTTGTTGCAGCCATGGCGATTTCGTTTCTTATTTTGCCTCAAACTTAACACCAGATTTAAAAAATCTGAGCCTCTATTGTATATTAATATATTTTTGTGGGTGCGTGTATGTGTCTAGATATATAAAATACATATTTAACTGCATATTTGCCTCTCTAGATTTCGACGACACACACACACACACATATATGTTAAAAGAAATTAATAAATAAATAACAATTAAGCGTAAAAAAATTGTGAATATCATACATGTTCATCGTGAGAAATGATCACCATAAAATCTCCGTCTTTGGTCCAAACGGGAACAAAATAGACACGCATGGCCTGTAACTTAAACATCTAATTGGTTTGAGTGTTGTCAAACTCGGCAACGGGAGACCACATGCTTAAAGAAGAAATTTGAGACATTTGATTATTTTTTAGGCTACTTGAGAAGTTTATTTTTTGGGAATGAAGTTTACATCACTATGCTCGAGTATATATATTACATTTTTCATGATCTTTTTAACCATTCATAAAATGGCTAAATTTTAAAAATCTTTACAATGGATGGATTTGACATAAAGTTACTTTTTCCAAATTTACTTTATTGAGCCACACAATTTTTTTCCATAATACAACTTTATGGAACCACTAAAATTGAATAGACATAAAGCAAATTTATGGAGCCACGCACTACAGGTAGTAGCTGTCAACCGCAGACCGATAAAGTAGCTGTCAACCGCAGCCCGATAAAGTAGCTGTCAACTGCAGGCACTCTAAATAGGAAGAAACTTGGCCCATGAACAGTAGGCCCAAATCCGGCCCAAAAGGAGGTGTCAAAAATGGCGGGCACACTGTTCACAAATCACTCTTACCATTGTATATAGTAAGATAATACTCCCACTGTAAAAGAGACTTCTAGTTAGTGTTCCCATGTCAAGATAATTCTACTTTCTTTATATGTTTTCATTCGATCATTTAATAAAACAAAATAATTTTGTCACCACTTGTTTTGTACTCCCTCTATTCTATAAAATTTTTCTCGTTTTGACTTTTAAAGGATTTAAGTGGAATGTAATTTGACATTGACTTTCCAAAAATACTCTTAGATGTGATGGGTAAAGTATGATGTAATGGGTAGATTAATCGTGAAAAATTGTGATATGATAGGTAAGTTAAGAATTAATAGAGGTAAAAGTAACTTTATAATATAGACGAGAATGGTCTTTGGGACGAATGAAAAAAGGGTAATACAAGAGTCACAAACAAAATCTTCACAAAATTTACAAATTTGCCAAATATGTAAAGTAATAAATTGAAATAATGGTCTCAATTAATTAAAAAATAAGAACTAAAATATACAAATGGTAAGTTGAAGTATTTTGTAAATGTTTTATTTGTGACTCTAGCATTACTTATGAAAAAATGAGAAAGGTTGTGAGGAACGCATGAAATAGAACTTTTGAAGTAGTTTTTTAATATATAATTCTTATGTTTTTTGTTCTACACCAATGTTTATTTGATTAAAAAATAACTTTAATCAAATGTCGTAAACCTAACAGTAGCCTTATTTTGGAACGGAGGGCATATAGTTAAGGGAAAAAGACAAGGAGTAAAACATATATAAAGAACCCAAATAAGATTATCATATTTTTATCTCCAAAATAAAACCAAAATTCATTATTTATAAAAAAATCTACTTAGGTCCATTTAAAAATATCAATGTTGCCAAATCATCTCCGTAATGTCACCGTGTCACTATACATTGTCAAATTAAGTTACAATACCAATGATGGTAATGTACATAGACAAAAATGACATTGAATAGTGCCAAATAAATCAATGTATAATGTCAAAAACAAATAAAATGTTAAATAACAATGTGATTTGCCAATATACAACTTCATGTTTGCATCACAGGCTACATCAATAAAAAGAGCAACAAATTGTGATTATAAAGACAAAATTCCAAACCGACACTTTTTTCAATTTAAAATTGAACAAAAATTATACTCCCTCCGTCCTATTTGCCTTCAAATCCATGTTACGATGTTTGATCAACTTTATTTTTAATTCAATTTATTTAATTGTAGAAGTAAATTAAAAAATAGAGGTGCCTTGATTATTTTAAAATATATTTAAAAACTACGTAAAAAAATCTACAAAACTAGAGGTGCCTTGATTATTTTATTTTTTCAAATGAATAACAACCAAAAAAAGAAACAAAGTACTCCCTTTGTCCCATTTTAAATTGTCTGTTTACCTTTTTTTCTCCATCCCAAAATAAATTGCCTGTTACTTGTTATTGTAAACTTTTCAAAGTAAAATATCTAAACTACCCCTAAAATAAGTCACTCTTCTCCATCTTATCTTCTCATTCATTATCACCCCTCCTAAAAAGTAATGGTAATTTCGAAAAATCAACTCTATTTTTCTCTTCTTTAAATATGCCAAATAGTCAAAACAGACGACTTAAAACGGGATGAAGGGAGTATATAAAATTTGACTTTATGAATAGTATATGTAAACATTCAAGTGGGACAGATGAGGTATATATATCACATGCAAATAAAACTAAGCTTTCAAATTCGAATATGTATATTACNCCCCCCCCCCCCCCCCCTCCCATCTCGAAAAAAACACAGAAGAGTAATCTTGAAACCAATGTCCTATGAATTCTTGTGCACGGGATCGTTTAAATAAATAAATAGTGATTACACAATGTGACCTATCATTTTAGTACGGAGTATTAAAAGTCACACCAAAAGAAAAATGATGGATGTGCGGAATTTGCAAACACAACTGCACGGCGACCTCAATTCAAGAATACAAAATACACGAACAGAACGAAACACAAACTCCTCAATCGAAGCAAAATACAATGGAAGTGTTTCTGTAAGGTTTCTTGGCAAAAGGGTATTTAGCTATGTATAACTGGCAAAAACAAGGGATAGAAATTGACCTAAAATGTTCGCGAGAATTTTTTGACCTCATACATGATTGAAGATATGGAAACGAGGTCCTTATTCAACGCAGTGCCACCAGAAATCCGCTTCATGGAGTCCGAAAGCCTCGTGTAATAAAGAAGCAGCTGTGTTAAAGCTGCTCTTAGTATGTCCATCCCGCAAAGGAAGTTACTGAAAGAAGTAATCACGTCATTGTGCATCAGCTCTATTGCACTCTTCCACCGGCTTGCAAAGTCTTTAACTATAGGTTCAACTTCAGACGCCATTACAGGTGGCCTTTCAGATCCAGAACGTGGGTCCTCCGCTGAGAGATAAATTTAGCAAGCATGAGTAATTTTGAAGTGATTCAAAAGGATAAGAGTTTATTTTTAAAATGATTCTTACATGCTCTTGTCTTTACAAACTTAATAAGATCACTGAAGTGCTCCAGCAGTAGCTCTTCCTGCAAGGAAAATAATAGTTTTAACATTTGCAGGCCAATAACCATAATGCCGGATTTCGATAAATCCGATTTTAAGAACACACATGTAGTGAAAGATTCAAATAAAAAATTAAAAATCTCATAAATGATAATAAATCCAAAACCTTGATAGTTTCAAATGTATATTGGTCATATCATTTTTTCACATAAAACTTTGGCATGATCATGAACAGGTGGAACTTAAAAGTGCAACCTTACTGATACAAAAAGTATTCTTTGGAACATACAAATGCATTTGTGTATACAAGAAACATCGACTTACTTCTCATCTATGCACTGTTTGTTACATAAATAGTATAGAGCAATGCACTTTAGTGTCACTAAGTTTTCATTAAAAGGTCTCCATATTTACTAGCATGCCACCACATTTTTGCTTTGAAAAAAATGATCTTATCCTTCTTCCATTTTTCAGTTCAATGGCCAAGATTAGTTCTCTTTTTCTTAATTACCTAGAAGCACTGTTTATTTAAACAAAATTACATGCAAATTTGCTTGTGCATTGGGTATCCTCCACTTAGAGACTTTTCCAAACCAGTCCCTAGTCAGAATCTAAGGATTTATATTCAGTTATTTGAGTTGCATATTGTATGACCTATTCAGCTAATGCAAGCTGTTAAAGGTTTGGTTTTGCATTGAATAAAGAAAAAGACATGCAAACTGGGCTAACTTGGTAAGGGTATTTTGCTCAAACAGACAAATCTCAAAAAATGACTCGGCCTGAAGGTATAGTTTAACAAGGAACCTTAAAGTGTTGGAGCTCAATGAGCATAAAGAGTGTGATAGAAAAGACCAGAAAAAGGGGATTTGGATGAATAACCTAGGAAGAATTTCTATTGCTTCATGTAGCCGGCACATCGATATGGGATCAAGGCTTGGTAGTGGTTCTTTCTTTGTTGTAAAAATGTTTGTAAACATCCATTTCAGCTACATAAGTTTAAAGCTCGGCTTGTTCTGTAAATAAGCAAAATATACTGGAATAGCAACTGCCTATCAAAATGGAGCCATGTTGTGATCTTCATACTGCCAGGGGTACCAGGTAAAAGAATGACAGGTTGCAAGGTTGGGCATGTGGCAATATTGGATTGTATAGACTTCTGACACTGAATAAGGCACCACAGGCACAATCGAGGCAGTTTACGAGTAAAACATGTTTGACGCTCGTTTCTACCAAACACACTACCGGTAAAGTGCCATTAAGTAGCAACATGTAAATGCAAGCGTATGTACCCATGTACAAACAGTACATTGCGTTGAAGTAGCAAGTCTATATCTATATGATGTTATAAAAAATTGGCTCGAATGTAGAATGTGAGTGAAATATGCATAGATAAAGTGATTTCAGTTCTAACAGGAAGAGGCGTAATATGTTGTATCGTTTCTGACTTTCTGAGTTATGCTCGGCTCCTCCATTTCTTGTGAGAACCATCACTTTAATGCAAAACATTACTAATGTTACTCCAGTATCATAGATGAAGTGGTGTACTTATTTTCAGGTTAATAACATCCAATAGTTCACGACAATCTTACCACAAATATAGAAGTGTTGTTCTTCAGTAAATCCTCGAAATGCTGCTGAATTTTACCACCCTCTGGACCGGCTTCCTGGAATGGAATGATATATAGTAAATGCATTAGTCTTAGGATGTACTTGCAAAATATGATATCACATTCAGTTTGAAGAGAACTTTTCGTATCACATAAAACTCGCTAAACAGCCATACCAATCACCACAAAAGTGAAGCGTATTATACACAACACAATAATTACTCCTAATGAAACTTTGAAACATATACAAAAAGAAATCTTACTACCATGAAATCCACCAGATAATGAATTTTCAAAATGCTGAGGGAAATCATTTATGTCCATTGCCAATAGAGCCGAGAGACATTTTTTATGATGATTTAACTTTGGGTAAATACTCCGTAGTACTAAATAATGTACTAAATTAAAAGAGAGCACATTGTCAAGAGTTTGCTTGATCCAAGATAGAGAAGGAATAAAAATGAATACTGAGTTGCTTAGCATTTCAGTATAAAAAGAATGTGGCAACGAAATTGTTTGAAGTCTTACCTTTAAGACAGATATTGTCATGTCGTAGTTATTTATAAGAAACACTGTCTGCAGCTTTTGTTTAGGGAACATCTTAGCAAGCTTAACAAGCAAGTCATCAACAGCCATTCTAAGCCTCTCCATATTGAGTTCAATCTACCAAATATTAGCACATAATACGATTTATTTCAGATCAAACTAACGAAGGACCATTCAGAAATTTTGAAGATTCTAGAGTGTTATCACCAACCTGGCCGTCTCTGTATTCACCATTAAGATGAATAAGTGATGCAGTAAATTCTGCATACCGTCTCATGACATAATGTGGATGAACATCATCCTCCCAGAGAATTCTGATATTAGCATTCCTCAAGCTGCTGAGGTGCAAGTCAAATACAATCTTGAAACGAGGCCATAATGCAATATTGACCTGTAAATAATTATTAAAAACACCTAAAAAGTTTCAGATTTGAAAAGTTTAGCTTGTACAGAAAATGAGATTGGGACGACCATAGCTACATTCCGCTTACATAGGTTTCATGAAGTACAATAAATACTATAAAAAGAAATGACCTACACATTTAAAAAACTCTCATCAAGATATATGTTACATTAGAGTACTTCATAAAATTCTCAATAAAGAGCAAATTTTATTGTTGTAGTGGAATAAACACACCGCAATTTTCCTTTTCCTGAAGACATATCTAGTAAAATAGTTAAATGGTGAGTGGTGACACCAAAAGCTTCAATGTTTCATGAGACTACAATTTGATATACACATAAGCCAATGATGAAAGAAATCAAGATATAAATGAAAAAAACTGACTGTATTATACTATTCTAGGGTCTAGGCTGAACAAATGAATGTAGGTTAACTATTAAAAGTTAGGCTGGGAAAAAAAATTTACATGGCAGTAAGGTAGAAAGTGATGCTTAAAAAAACAAAAACGAAAATAATACAGGACCAACTAAAAAGGGCAGTGAGATTGAAGGGACACCACAGGGAGAAGTACAGTAGAAAATAACGAATAATATGCTACATTGATTGTGCAAAATAATTCATAAAAATCCAAATAAGAAACAGTAGAATTTTCCAGGTGATGTGGAAAGTTGCATTAGGGGTGTGCTCTTAGTCCTCTATTTACTATGGTGATAAACAAATTGATGCACCATATCCACGAGAGATCCCTGTGAGCTTGCATTTTGCAAACGATGCTTTATTGATTGTCAGGACACATGAGGACATTAAGGAAAGATTGGAGGTGTGGAGGCAAACCAGGGAGTCTAGATGCTTCAGGTTGCGCAAAACTGAGATGGGGCAAGTCAATGGTGTAGGTGAAGATGGATATCAAACTCATCCCCATAATGAATAGTTTTTGGTACGCTGGGTATATCATACAACTATAAAAGTTAAAGGAGAGATTATAGATTGACATGGATGTCACCCATCGTGTCGGGGCAAGATGGATGAAATGGGGGGGGGGGGGGTAGATATGAAGATGCTTATGTGGACAAGTAGACAAACTATAAAGGATTCCGGGATGGGTTAGGGGTGCCTTCTGTATAATGTGTGAAGCTAGATTGAGGTGGTTTGGACATGTAGAGGAGATGTATTATGCCCACTTCAGGAGTTCGAGAGTAGCAGGTGGTGGGGGTAGAAGTCAAAGAGCTGGATTGAGGTGATTACGCGAGGACATGACCTTAGTCCTTAGATGTGGATATTTGGAGGTCGAGGATTAGAGTTGCAGGGTAGAATCATTTATCTTGTGTGTACGGCAACGCCTTGTATGATTAGTTAAATAAAGTATGGTGTGTGCTTGGGACCCTTCTCCCCTCCCCCCCCCCCCTTTCCCTGCCCTTACCCATTATATTTTATGTTTCCTCTGCAGTCACGAATATGTCTCCCTTTACTTCAATCTGCTTTGCTTGCTTTTGTTGTACTCTTATTCTTTGATTTTTTTAACTAGTATTTGGTTCGTTTTCTGGGCCGCAGGTTGTGCGGAAGCAGCCTATCAACCATGTTGGGTAGGGGCAAGGTCTGTATATATCTAACTGTCCTAGACCCACTTTTTGAGAATTACTAGGTTGTTGTAGTAGTTGACTAAAAGTACAACAACAAACTCAGTACAATCCCACAAAATTAGGGTGTGGAGAGGGTGTGTACATAGTCCTCAGACGTACGATGAAGTAAAGAGGTTGTTTCCAAAAGACCTCGGCTAAGATACATAAGTACGAACTGAACTGCTGAAGCACGAAAGAAGTACGAAAACAACAACAACATTACCCCAGTGCCTCAAAAGGATCCCGCCCATTGCGGGGTAAGGGGGGTCGGATGTACGCAGACTGACACCTATGTTTAAAACATAGAGTGGCTGTTTTCTTATGACTCATGATGAGCGTCGAAAGTTGCATTGACTAACTGCTAGCCGGCTACTTCACTATTGAAAAAGAAGCGCGAACAGTTTAAAAAACCATTTTGCTTTATTCCATCATACTCAAAGCCAAAAAGTATAGACCAAAAAAATCATAGAAGACGACTCTAAAACAGGGCATAAAGCACAAATAGCACACAAGTACACGCTACAGACTAAGGCCTATAAATATTCAGTAGACTACTAAAAGTCCAGTGACATTTTTACTATGAAATAATTTATGTCAGTTTAGTACTCAAATTTACACAAAGACAAATATGTGTCCCTCCCAAATCATACACTTCAAGGAATTCTTCAATCTAATTAACAACTTTATTATCAAATGAAATATAATGGTCCGGATAAAAAATAGGGTTGTAAAACGAGCGAATGAATTTCATTCGATTCGTGATTCGTATTCGAAATCAAGGATTCATATTCGAAAAAATGAATACAAATAAGAATATAAATATTTATTAAAATTCGAAAGAAAACGAATACGAATGGTTATGTATTCTATTCGATATGTTAACGAATATATTCGAATTTAAATACCCTATAGAAATTTTACCCAACATAGTTGCTTCATAATAAATACAGATTATAAAATACAAAAGTACTCCATAATAAATATAGAGCATAATATATCGGGGCAAGGTTTGCATGTATGCACATCCCCCGAAACCCTACTCTCGTGGGATCTATTTAACTAGGTTGTTGTTATTTTGGACATGCCATTTTTAGTACAAAGTACTCCCTCCGTTAACTAAAACACTTCCTCTTTCATTTTCTTCTTTCACCAAAAAGCTTCCACTTTGAAACCACTTTTACCCCTACTAATTCTTACCCTAACTATTACATCATACTTTTTCACTAATAATCTACCTATCAAATTTTACTTTTACCCATCACATCAAGGACAAAGTTGGAAAGTCAATTACAAAAATACAGTCTTTATTTCTCCCATTTGTCAAAATAGGAACCGTTTTGCAAAATGGTTGATGTTTATGGTTAATTTGTGGGGTAATAATTTTTTAAGCTATAAAACGTAAAAAAACTCAAAATTTATATTTTATAACAAAATTTGAATACGAATGAAATGTTTGAATTTAATATCAAATCGAATACGAATTGTAATAATAAATAATTATTCGAATTAAAAACGAATATGAATATGAATAATGGTATCATTTTTCAAATGCAAATAAAATTTCATAGTATTCGATTCATTCGTTTTACAACCCTAGTCAAAAAGTTATCCATGCCCAAAGAACAGGGAGGAAACGATACGAAAATGGGATGTAGGGTCATAATCGGATCAGGAATTACATACCTTATCTAAAAATGAATCCAAGCAAGGAATTCGGCGACGAGACATTACAAGCTGAAAGAAATGCATAACAAGTTATAATAAAAAACTCTATAGTTATCTAAAAACATATGGCACTCATGGCACATCAACAGAGGTACGCTTCTTTTATCAAGGGTATTCACCTGGTGCTGGTGAACAATTCGAATCATGAGCATCAAGCCAATTGCATCGTATGAATTTGGAAGAATTGAGTTGAAGTGCTCATCAATTACAGCAAAAGGACCTAGTAGTAAAATATGTTGAACCATGTATCCAGAGATTGGTGACCAAACAAATAAGTTAATGTAAAGTTATAATGAGAAATTGAAATTTATCCAGAGTCACTATAATTGATATCGGCTTTCAC